CTTTATATGAAAAAGAAAGAGATAAGTATAAAACGTATCGTAAGACATTATCGCACATTTTGGCTGGCGGGAAATTTAAATTAGCCATTATTAGTAGTATTCTTTCATTCTGAAACTAAAAATTTTCACTTAAACTGATTTATTCCCTACACCACGTTCCCTTTACGAAAATTTGCAGTTTCTTTCAGAACGAAAGAATACTACTATTATAAGGGAAATTATAAAAACAGCAAAAATTGTACTGTTAAACATATTTATTTATACACGAAAATAAATAAACTTTTTATAATATAATAACAAAACATAACAGTGTTTATTCCACCCACCTACCAATTTTAAATGCAGAAGAACTGACTGTTGCAGGAAACGATCGGCCAATTTTTTTAAAGGGCATTAAAAATCTCATTTTCGAAAAAAACTTTCTAATTGCAATAACAAAGTGAATATCCAAATATAAGCAAAGAAGACTTTACGAGAATCATGATTCTGAACCATTTTCAAGTCCAGTTTTAATTCTAAATCAAAAGTAAAATAGGTCTATCAGAGAAAGGGGGTACCAATACATATAAAAAAATAGATGATACTGGCTCCTGCAGCAAATAAAATAACAAATAGTAAAACCTAAAATTATAAGTAACAAAATATAAATACCTATCTGGAACAAAGGAATTTGTTCCCTATCCATATTCATAAGTCAATAAAATGGAGAGTTTAGAAAAAAAGGTAAATCGCCAAAAAAAAATTAACAAATATGACGAATTGTCATGATGTTGTCATCTTGGTTGTCATGATAACGAAAACGAAAGGCGATTGTTCTAATTTCTATTTAGAAATTACGTTTTATATTGCTGCTTCTTTCTCTCTTGTTATATTAGAATGAGATAGTGGGCCCAATAGACGCAATGCGCAGATCAACATAAATAGAACGAAATTTTGCGTTCTGAGTTGCGCTACGGGAACGCTGTCCCTCTCATTGCCATTTAATTTGCCAGTCTCTTTTTATTTGTTTGTCTATGACTATACTTCACTTTAGACACTGGAGACATCTACTGGCTATACAGGGTATAAAAAGCTGATTCACCCTGTACAGCGGTCTCGTAATTGATTAACTAGATAAATCCCAGTCATTACTGCAGGCAAAAAGGCCGGTAGGAATGTCCGCCCGCTGGAGACCAGCCTTCATTTATCAAAATACACTTATATTGTGCCTGTATAATAATATTGTATCCAACACCTGTCATTCAGCCAAAGCTATGACTTATCGACTCTATTATGAGCCGGGTATATACGAAGCAGAGTCTCGTAGCCGCGCGTATAGCTATATATCGAAGGGGTCAGCATTCAACATTTCTCATCGAATGGGATTTTGTATTTTGTCATTATCCAGTATAGCGGTAATTGATGTTTTTTTTTCTATGGTTAGTATCACGAACAGCTGGTTTTCTTTTATAGAATTTTTTTTATTTACAAAGACCGTAAAAAAATATTACTGTAATTGAAAAATATCTTTAACACATTTATTATTTGTTCGCGCCACAAATAGTAGATATCATTTTTAGGCCTAATAAAATAATCCAGTAAAATTGTATCGCCGTATAGAGATTAAAAAAAAATTACTGGTAAGCTGATTTTTTCAGAGTTTGTCAGCGACTGTCTTCTGAGTGTAAAATTAACAAAATCGGAAATTTTCCTATTGCGGTTTTTGAGCAATATGGGTGGTTTTTTAAAACTGTACTACAACAAAATAATTAGACGCAAATTGTACATAAGAACATTCTCTAAGTTCGCCTAATGCATTTTTTTTATAAGTTTATTATTTTCGGACTTAGCGGCCGTTTCATGAGCACTTTGGGGTGGTTTTGAAAAAGTTTGTTTTACAGCAAATTGACCCGTATGAAAGTTGTTCATAATAAATGGACAAGCAACTTTTCCTCATGAATTTTTTTTGTAGCTTTTTTTATTTTTGGAGATAGCGTCCAGTTCATGAACAAATTAGGGTAGTTTTCAATGTTACTCTTTTTTCAGCAAATTCACCCTAGGAAACTCGTTCAAAATAAGAGTAGATATACCTTTGCCTTATGAACTTTTTTATGTAACTAGACTATTTTTGGAGATAGCGCCCAGATCATGAACAATTGTCATATAAAAGTACTATACAACCTTTTGTACTTAATAACACTACTATTGACGTCGTGGACTCTGTGAAATTCTTAGGACTTCTTGTAGACAACTCGTTAAAATGGGACTTTCACATTGAAGCTCTATCAAAGAAACTAAGCGCTGCCTGTTTTGCGCTAAGATCAGTTTCTAAGGAACTTAACTTATCAACCTCTAGAATAGCCTATTATGCCCTTTTTGAGTCACATCTTCGTTAAGCCCTTCCATTCTGGGGTACTTGCTGCGCAACAAAATTTGATCGTGTTTTCAGACTTCAAAAGAGAGCAGTTCGATATTTATTGGGACTGAACAGTAGAACTCACTGCCAGAATTTCTTTAAAAATTTGAAAATACTGACTCTTCCTTCTTTATTCATTTTTGAATCCGTTTGCTTAATCCGCAAGCACATATCTGCTATTCCCAAAAGGCCATCTCATAACTATCCACTTAGGAATGCAGAGCACGATCTTTATCTGCCAACCCCGAGCTCAGAACTAGTTAAAGGTTCCATACTGTACAATGCCAAAAAAATGTACAATCATCTGCCTTTGAATATCAAATCGCTTTCATTCTTTCCCGCATTTCGCAAAGTTCTAAAATCATACCTACTGGAGAGAGCCCTATATGCGGTAAACGACTTTTTGTTGATTAATTATGAACAATTTTGAATTTTAAAATTTTGATCATCTCACACACTGGTCAAAGGTCAAGTATTTAATATTTTATAACTTTAAAATTATATCTATTTACTGCGTACTGTTCTAAAATTGTCCATGTGTATTCTTTTTGTAATTTTAAAGACTTAAATTTTTTTGAATTGTATTATTTGTATTGTGTAGTTTTTGTTGTTTGTATTTTTTTGTGATTTTGTTGTTTGTGAGTGCTTTGTCGATGAAGCTGTTTTGGCTTTTTGCACAATAAAGCGTTGTTTGTTTGTTTTGTTTGTTTGGTGAGCCACTTTTGAGACGCACCCGGTATATGACGTGACGTTAAATGATGGCGGAACATTCTATATTACTCTATTTGTACATATCTTTAACACATTTAATATTTTTGTCCTCGCTAACCTCAAAAAGCATCATTTTTACTCCTAATAAAACAATATACTATTTTTTTGTAAAGAAGAAGTAGTAGCTGTGCTGCAATTTATCATAAGCAAATAATATAAGCTTTTTTTCTATAAGGTTCGGTTCCATATATATTGCAGATCTTTCTACCCACACAATATATAGCCGCACTATAAATATATCTTTTGCACATTTATGGAGTGTGCCAAACCAAAAAAAAAATAAAGTAAAATCTCCTAGACTGAAAAATGCAAAAGACGCATTGTGGTCCATGTCTTTTTACCATTATTCAGCAATCGTACGACTCGTATTTACAGCTCTTACAATCGTACTCGTATTGTGTTCGATGTAGGACACAATTTCATTGACGATAATCTCCGTATTTATATGGGGATTATAGAAGCAAACGTCGTCCTACGATGGGGACGCGGATTTATCAAGTGGGCAAGGCTCCCCCATTTTAGAAATGTCTGTCGTTTGTGTCGGTGATAGAGCCTCAAAAATAGTTTATAAATAATTTATAACTCTATAAGAAAGACGCGTACTACTTATCTTAGATAGGAATTATCGGAAACAAGAAATAGACAGCTTATCCAATAGTCAAACAGTACTAAAAGCGATCAACAGTGTCTGTTTCTTTTCGACAAATAAACGGCACATTGTTTCAAACAACTTATCGAGTATTTTTCAAGCCTTAAAATCGACAAGTTCACTTAACTAGGTACTAAACATCTCTTTTTGTCGAACTCGAGTACCCTTGCGGGTCTTCTTATGTCTTCTTCTTCGTAAAATTAAAATCTTTGGTCATTATTCGAAAGGTTCTTCAAAAGTAATCTGTAGGTCAAAGGGTACACACGCTTCTTGTGTGGTAAAAACTATCAAGAGGGAGATAGACATACGTTTAAGTTATGTTCAGAGTAATAAAAAACGTAAATATGTAAGAGCCAGAGGCATTATATTTTGTGTGCATGGTGTGTCACTAGTAAGGCAAACGTCTAGTGAACGTCTAAACTCGTTATTATATATATTATTTATATTAACAGTGACATTATTGCGTATAAACAAAACATTGTAAAATAGTTGCTGAAGCGTGCCGTAGATCTCATAGATCTCAAATGAATATATTTTTTATTGCCCTGAGCCAGTATAAGAGTCGTAGAATACACCTCAATGCATCTAATCAGGAAATCTTGATAAAACCGACCATTGTACCCGCTTATGATTGATTATTGATTCTTTTTGTCGTTCGGTCACAATATTTATTTGTGATTTTCGGTCGTATCATACCACCAAATAAGATCCGACCATCATGATAAGCTCATCGAATATTTTTCTCCTTTTTTTTGTCGTTGTTACATTTTCTTTATTGAAAACTGAATATGTCTGTAAAGAAAGCTCCGTCTACACATAACATTTTACCTGTCAGTCTTATGGGCTCAGTCAAAACGTATCAAGTAAAACCTTGAGTGAGTTGACTTTATTAGAGATATACTGTTAGTTCTTATTCTATATTTTATTTAATTTTTTGTTCTAGACTGAGTATCGGCTGTGTCATCATGATAAGCTCATCGAATATTTTTCTCCTTTTTTTTGTCGTTGTTACATTTTCTTCATTGAAAACTGAATATGTGTGTAAAGCTTCGTCCACACATAAAGTTTTACCTGTCAGTCTTACCGGCTCAGTCAAAACGTATCAAGTAAAACCTTGAGTGAGTTGACTTTATTAGAGATATACTGTTAGTTCTTAATCTATATTTTATTTAATTTTTTTTTCAGACTGAATATCGGCTGTGTTCGGCTTGCAGCGAACCAATCAGTGACAAGTTCCTGCTGGAAGTGTCCGGTAGAAACTGGCACGCAAGATGTCTGCGGTGCTGCGTGTGCCAGTTGCAACTGGACCGGCAGCCATCTTGTTTCATCCGGGATAGAGCAATATACTGTAAGGCGGACTATGCCAAGTAAGTACACGTAAATAAATCACATTAGGGAGAATTTTCTATAGAAAATTGTACAAAAATTTACACAAAAGTTATTAAAAGTAATTAATGAATGTCTCCTTATCTATTAACTTTATTTTAACTGTGCCTAAGGCTTTCGTGTTAAGCCACAACCAATATCCCTAACACACGTGCCTTGATTAAGGCTTGATTAAGATTTGCAGAGCTTCAGCATTTGCCATAAAATAGTGAGCCATTTGTTACAAAACCATATACAGTGGTGGCCAAAAGTATGGAAACTTTTTTAATTTGTCATTTATGCTGAGAAATTAAAATATGAAATAAAACGACTTATATAATCGTGACCTACAAATAATTTCCTACAAAACCTAATACATTTAAATAAAACATTACAGCTATCAAAAAATATATAAAAAATTATGAATATTTTCTTGGTCAAAAGTATGGAAACTTAAGAAGAATGTTTATTAAAATTCAAGATAATATAAAAATTACTAATATTTAGTGGAATATCCCTTTGAATTAATTACTTCTCTACTTCTTCGTGGCATCGAATCGATCAATCTCGTACAATCTTTACTGGAAATGGCCGCCCATTCAGTTTTTAGCACTTCCCATAATTCATTTTTATTTGAAATAGAATGGCTTCGAATTTTGCTATCCAAATGGTTCCAAAAATTTTCTATGGGGTTAAGATCCGGAGACTGTGAGGGCCAATCCATTAGTGGAACATTATGTTCATTTAACCAATTTTGAACAAACCGAGATTTGTGCTTGGGATCATTGTCTTGCTGAAACAACCATCTGAGTGGCATTTCTTCATCAGCATGAGGCAGCATATTATTCTCCAATATGTCTTTGTACAAAAAACGGTCCATTATCCCATCAATTTTAACAAGAGGACCAACACCTGAGCGAGAAAACACCCCATACCATTATACTCCACCCCCATGTTTTACTGTGGGCATCTGGTACTTATGGCTGTACCGTGTACCTTTTGGTCTTCGGACATAACGTCTCCCGTCACTACCAAACAGTTGAAACTTGCTTTCGTCGCTAAACAGTACAGTATTCCATTTCTGATAAGACCAGGTGAGATGATCCTGAGCGAATTTAAAGCGGGCCATCCTATTTTTCTTTGATATTAGTGGTTTCTTCACTGCAACTCTTCCAAAAAGTCCCATGTCATCCAACCTTCTTCTCACCGTGCGTGCAGACACCGATATTCCCCTTTCACCCATTTCTCGAGAAATGTCTGTGGATGATTTTCTTGGATCTCCCATTGATATTCCCTTCATTACTTTCATTGTCCTGTTGCACAACTTTCTGGTCTTCCTGACTTAAAAGCTGTTGAAACGTTTCCTGTTTTATTAAATTTACGAATTATTTTCGAAACGGTGCCTTTTAAAATGTTTAAATTTTTACTTATTTGAATTTGTTTACAACCGCTCTTGTATAATTCAACTATTTTATTTTTTAAATCCGTAGAGAAATATTTAGACTTGGGCATGATGTTTATATTTATCTGAAGCAAATCGTACCGTTTATCAGCTTAAACTAAATAATTTTAATGTATTTATTTATGGTTTCCATACTTTTGGCCACAGGAAATCTATTGTTCTCCTACAAAAACGGCTAAACAGATTTTTTTCGCTGTGTAATTTTTGGAATACTTTTATTTGCTGATAAGCTGTTCATTTATATTCCTGAGAGTTTAAGCATAGCAATATTTTCTGTGATATTTTAAAAAGTAAAACGTTTCCATACTTTTGACCACCACTGTAAATTATATATCACTGTAATCACAAAACTTCAGTCTATTTCCGTATTGTAACGGAATTTCAAATTATGTCTTTATTTTCGAGAAAATTTAGTCCAAACATAAGGAATATTTTGTTGATGTTTAACCATCAAAATCTTTAAAACAAAGAAGTTGTCTAAAATGTACTACAATACAGTTATAGTATAATCCTTTATCTTTAATTTCCTTCTTCATTTGTGTAAAAATACCTAACTAGTTTTACATAAAACGTTAAATGCCGAACGCTTCTTTTTCTACTTTTTCAGACTAGTGAAATAGACTCTTAATGCGTTTAACTACAACACAAAAATCGAACTTATATAGAAAAGATCATTTGCACAATCAAAAAAACGTTTTACCAAGACTTTGCCAACAAGGTCATGATTTTTTTCAAAACGACGAGATGATTTTTTGCCTTGAAAGTGGCCGCATCAAAGAGATTGATTGTTTTGAGCGGTTTCATTGACATATATACTTAAAAAAAGAAGATATTCTTTAAGATAGTAGGTACTTTTATGTGTATTTATTCAAGAAGAATCGTGATGGAAATATTAAAACTGTAAAAAAAATAAAACGTCTACAAAAATCAATTGATTCTTTGTTGATGTGAAGTTTATTTGGTTTAAAGGATATATTAAATAGTTTTCTTTAATGTTATGACATTTGATTTCAATCAAAAATACTTCGTAATGTTGTTAAGTTAAAGAAAAGGTTATTTTAGATTTTTTTTTAACAAAATCTATTCAAGGCGTTACTAGATGAGATGATTTTTGTCGTTATTTGGTAAAACAGACCCATATACTGTTTGGATAAAGACCTTATTATGGATAACCTTACGTTAGATAAAATGAACGTTGTATGAAATTTTTGTGTTGAAGAATAAAACTAAGTCCTTACCAAAGACTTTTAATGAAAAATAAGTCATATAGCAATAAAAAAAATAATCAGTTCCCAAAATAAAACAAAATGCTATTTTTTTGGTTTCTGGAACGAAATGAGATTTAAATTTTTAATGGTCAAAAAGCAAAAACAAAAGGAAAATTGATAATTTTAATCAGTGTTGCCACATCTATATAGCCCTTATGCAAGCTTCTATCTGCACTGACATGCTTCTTGTTAAATTATCAACGTTGTCTTGGGGTAAATTTTCCCATTCTGTTAATGCCGCATCAATAAGCTGTAAGAGATTTCCTGGATTGTTTCGACGAGCTCTAACGGGGTTTAATTGATAGGGTTTAGATCTGGTGAACATGCAGGCCAGTCCAAATCTATGATATCTTCTGTTTCTAGACATTCTCTAGCCACTCTACTCATATGGGGAGGTGCATAATCGTGCATGAAGTTAAATGATCCCCAACTGCAGCTCTCCAAAGCCTGACGTTTGGTTCTAGCACTAAATCAATATACCTCCGACCCGTTAAAGTTTGTTGAAGTGGTAACAATGGAGCTTTTGCTCCCAGCATAATACCTTCCCAGAACATTACAGTTACTTCTTGGTATTTTGGTACAAAATTGGCAGCCTGGAGTCTCGCTCGTCTTCTTGGAGCTCTGAGAACCCGAATTAGATGGTCGTCTGATCTTAGGTCAATTCTGGTCTTATCCGAAAAAAGAACATTTTGCTAATTCTCAACTGTCGGTCAATTTTATTTTGCCGAGATAACTGTGGGACCCGTAACTCCCTTCATCCGTACAACCCTCGATCACGAAAAGCCTTTTTATTATTGTTTCAACTGAAACGTTCACACCTGTAACTGCCAGAATTTGTCTTTGTAGCTCTGGATGAGAAACATTGGGATTTCTTCTAGCAATTTGGCACACAAAGCGGTCTTGTTGTTCAGTTGTGCCTCTTTGACGACTTTGCCTGGGCCTGTTCTTGATAGTTCCAAGTACCTTGCATATCCACAAAAGAAAATAAATCGGAGCAGTCGTTTATTCTTTATTATCATGTTCATTTGCAACAAAAAGCCTTACCTTAAAGTTGTATACCGATTTTTAACCTTGCAAAATGTTTGGACAGAAATAATAAACAGTGATTCCATACAAGTTTGGTTGTGTGTATGTCTGTGGGTTTCTCTAGACCGGATATCTTCTGGCTAATAACTCTTTCGCTGGCGTTGTCGACCGGGGATGTACAGGACCGGCCAGTTTTACTTTTCAGTAGCCAATTATGGCCTCCCGGCGGACTAATTAACACGAACATTCGTCGGGGAAACCCTCAGTCTTCGCGGCGACCAGACAGCCCATGGGCGGAAGAACAAGACCAGCTACGTTCCGAAATTACCACCATAGTCCATCTTTTTAAAGGTTATTTTGTCTGGCAATTAATTACTTTGAATAAAAATATTAAGGAAGGAGTATAATGTTATTAATCCATGTATTCAGGTAATAGATACGTAATCGACATCATGAACACCTCACTGATTGACGGTTCAGTTGAAACATTGGAATTTCTTTTGAAATCTTACGGATTTGTTGTGCTTCTCTGAGCACATTTCATGTTGTCTCAATATGAATTGAGCAAAAACTAAAATAGTGTACAACGAACTAGTTGAAAGAAAAGACATTCTAATAAATAACAAAATACTGGAAATAGAAGAATATATACACACATGGCCAAAATTATTGCATATAACGAAATTTTTATTTTATCTTGGACATATTGGCTTACTACACGACTAAATAATATAGAATTAAAAATCTAAGTGCAACTAGACTGTTATTATAATTTTATTTCATAATGAGTGGAAATCAACAAAAACAAATTTCATTTTAAACAGAAAATATTGAAAACAATTTTAATTATTTCTCACAACTAATAGTCTGTATTGCCTCCTCGAGCCTCAGTGCAAGCTGTGAGACGACGTGGCATGCTCTCAATTAAGTTGTCCAGAAGATGTTGAGGAATTGTTTCCCATATTTCGCGCGCAGCACTTTTCAATTCACTTAAGGTACGGGGGGGATCATTCTTTTTGGCAATGTGGAGTTTTAGCATGTCCCAAGCATGCTCGATCACATTCATGTATGTATATACACACACCGGAAAAATCTAGGGATATCATTTTATTAAAGTTAGAAATAAATGTTTTGAATAAACAACCACATATTTGTAGGCCGATTCTTTCTACTTCGATTGAAATGAAGTAGTCACACTAGTTATTTCTAAATTTGGGATATTTGCAGAAGTGTTTCAAAGCACCTA